TTCTTTTTGGGCCTAACGTCCCCACTCTATTGGTTACAACACGACATATTTTCGGCCGCATAAGCCCACTAAGTTTTTTGGGACGAGCCCGCTAAATGTTTTGAACCTAGGCTACCCATTATATATGGTGTTGTGCCTGAAGTTTTTCCCGGGCCATTGGTTCCAAGCCCGTCACATTTTCTACCCATTAAGCCCATTAAATTTTTGGGCCTAGTATATGCATTTTGTTTTGTTTTGGGCCTGAGTTCCCAGCCCATTGGTTACAAGGTCATTTTATATTGGGCGAACAAGCCCATTACATTTTTTCGGCCAACGCTTTCTATTATATTTAGTTTTGTGCCTGAAGTTTATCCCACCCCATTGGTTACAAGCCCATTAAATTTTCGGCCCAACTAGCTGATTATATTTTTTGGTATTACAAGCCCATTATATTATTAAATCAATTTATTCTTTCAAGGGAAAATCCCATATAAATACCATTTGAATTTTAAAATTCCATATTAGTCACTCTAATTTCACAAAGGACAAATAGGTCTACAGGTATTGAATTGGGATTCACAAATTTTAACAAATTACATCAATACCCTTTTTCTCATCTTTTTTTTGTCTTCTCTTTCACATCATATCTAGAAAGCTATTTTCTCTCTCGTCAGGTTCTCTTCTTCTTCGAAGGGCAGCAAAACTATAGGCTGGGCATGAACTGTCAAAGGGTTCGATGAAGAAGAAGAAGATGCAGTCTCTCCTACGGCGTTCTGGTATGTTCTTAATGAATATTTCATTAGGCTTGGGGTTTGAGACTTGGTACCTCTTGTCTTTTGTCTTCCCTTCTCAATCTCATCACCAACACTATAAGGGGGAGAAAGAGAGAGATAAAATTTAGAGAAGAAGCAGAGAAAAAAAGAAGAGATAGAGAGAAGAAGAGAGGGAGTAAACTTGTGAGATTATGTAAGTGAATAGAAGTTGATGGTGGGGCTTGGGTTGTTCATTTTTGTGGCTGTTTCATGGTGAAATAGGGACAGAATTATTGGGGTTGAGGGTTTATATTTAGTAGTTGGTGAATGATGTAGCAAAAATCAAAAAATGGTGGCAAGTAACTACGCAATGTAATTGTTGTCATGTGCCTGCTGTTTTTTGGTAAATATCATTACGTGAATGGTATATTTCATTACACATTTAGTTAATTATGAAAATTAATAGTTTAATATTTACTGTGATGCACTTTAAGTGCACGTCCACTAAATGTACTTCGGCGACCTATTTGTTTGTTACAGATGGCGTTACTTTGGCAACCTCCTCAACGGCGGCAATTTCAGGGAGTACGAGTTATTTCAGACAGGACAATATACTTCAGCGACGGTAACCAACTTTAGCAACGGCAGTCTACTCCTACGACGGCGGCAATGTGATTTCGAATAACTCTTTTTGGTGACCGGAGGAACTTGGATTTAGTTTTTCTTTAGGTTTCATTATAATGAAGGTAGTTTTTAATAGTATTTGTGAAGTGATTAACAACTTTCAAAATGAATATACCAATTTCTATAACGTGTCTCACAATCTCCTTGTTTGTAATTATTTCTAATCTATTTATATATAATTTTACTAAACATATAACGAGAACAACAACTTATGAAATAAAAGTGACAATTTGCATGAGGAGTTTTGCAATTTGTTATAAGCTACTTACAGACATTTTTACAAAACGAGTAAAAAAGAACTACAACCTGTGTAATAAAAGTTGCCATTTATATCAGGGGATTTGCAACTTGTTTATTTACAATTATTTTTAATGCTTTTACCCACAATTTTACTAAATGAAAATAACAACTTACAAAATGAAAGTGACCGTTTATGTAATGAATTTTGCAACCCATTTTAATCAACGTGTTAGTATGTAAAAATATTCAACTGCTTTTTATTTGTCTTACTCTAGAGGCGTATTAGTCATTTTACCGAAATCTACAAATCCCAAATTCATACCTCATATTCATTTGGTCATTTCATTTATTTGGATCATTTTTTTGTCTTTTTCAATTTTAATAAATATTTTTTTGTCATTTTCCCTTCTTTCAATTGTTTCTCTATTTTTTTTTGTAACAAAATTTAAGAAAGGAGCTGGGCTCACCCACAATCCAAAAACAAGGCACCTAACTCATGATCCACTACTTTACGACCAGGTAGGAGAGTATACATGCTTTCACCTCCCCCTAGCTAAAAGGCATTAACAACCTTAGAATTAGTTTCAGAAGATGTCAGTTTACTTAGTTGTGAGATGCCTCTCTCAGCGCCCCAACTGACTCAATAACTGAACCCTCTCCCTTAATGAGTCCGTCCAACTCCTTTGCCAGCTAAAACTATGGATAAGGGGTTTTTTCTCTGTTGTTTTTTTGGTACTGAATTTTAGGTGTTTCTCTTTATTTGGAAGTGATTGGTATTAATCAATAAACACATTGTTTAATAGCTTATAATTTTGCATAATCGTCTGGATGTGGTAATTTGTTAAGTGTTTCGCTTTTCCTATTTAGTTGGATTTTTTTTTTTTACTGTTAAATTTATCGTGCTTTATTTGTGATTATATATTTTTTTGAGAAAATTGCAAATAAAGACCCCTGAATATATAAAATAGCAATCAGGACCCTGAATTTGAAAAATTGCTCACAAGGACCCGGTCCCAATTTGTAATTATGAAATCATGGCTAAATTACCAAAATACCCCTCTTTAATTTTTTTTTTCAAAAAAGAACACTACTGCCTCGCCGGAATCCGGCCGCCGGAGCTCCGCCACCTCAGCCGCCGGCTGCCGGAGCTCCGCCACCTCGGCCGCCGGAGCTCCGATGCCGGCGGCCGAATTCCGGTGGCATTCCTTTTTTTTTTTTTTGAAACTGTTTTTTTTTTAAATTGGGGGAAGTGAGGTTGGGGGGATTTGATCCCCCAACCTCATGCTTCCCAAAATTAGGAATGACCATTGAGCCAACAAATTTTTGCTAACATTATAATACAAAAAAAAAATATAAGTTAACTCATTTACTCTTGTTCCAGGTGATAACAAGAATACATTTGAAAATAACAAGTTCTGATTATAAATAACAAGTCTGGGATTAAAATTTAACAACACGTTTTTTTTTTATAACAACACACTCTGTTGCAGGTGATAACAACAATACATTTGAAAATAACAAGTTCTGATTATAAAATAACAAGTCTGGGATTAAAATTTAACAACACGTTTTTTTTATAACAACACACTCTGTTGCAGGTGATAACAACAATACATTTGAAAATAACAAGTTCTGATTATAAAATAACAAGTCTGGGATTAAAATTTAACAACACGTTTTTTTTATAACAATACACTCTTTTTCAGGTGATAACAACAATACATTTGAAAATAACAAGTTCTGATTATAAAATAACAAGTCTGGGATTAAAATTTAACAACACATTTTTTATAACAATTAATTATTTTATACTTTGAAAAATAAATTATTTATAACTTATAAAAAGTATTTTAAATCTATTTAATTTGCTAAAAAAATAATTTTTATCTCCAATTTATAATCAAAACTTGAAGTGTAATTTATTATAGATTAAAAATACTTTTTTATTGTTCAAATTTATAAATAAAATTTAGGAAAAATGACAACACACTTTTTTAATTTTTTTTAAAAAATTTTTAATCTATATATCTATATAACTCATTATAAATCAAACTACTTCTTATAAATTATAAATAGTATAATTTATTGTAGATTAAAAATACTTTTTGATTGTTTAAATTTATAAATGAAATTTATCTCTAATTTATAATTAAAAATACTATTTTTTTCTTTAAATATAAAAACTATTTTTAATATTTAAAGAATGAAATAATAAATTATACTATAATATTTAAATACTTAATAATAAATTTAATATTTAAAGAATGAAATAATATAAAAATATTATAATGAGTTGTTAAAAATATTATAAAAAAATGTGTTGTTAAATTTTAATCCCAGACTTGTTATTTTATAATCAGAACTTGTTATTTTCAAATGTATTGTTGTTATCACCTGAAAAAGAGTGTATTGTTATAAAAAAAACGTGTTGTTAAATTTTAATCCCAGACTTGTTATTTTATAATCAGAACTTGTTATTTTCAAATGTATTGTTGTTATCACCTGCAACAGAGTGTGTTGTTATAAAAAAAAAACGTGTTGTTAAATTTTAATCCCAAACTTGTTATTTTATAATCAGAACTTGTTATTTTCAAATGTATTCTTATTATCACCTGGAACAAGAGTAAATGAGTTAACTTATATTTTTTTTTGTATTATAATGTTAGCAAAAATTTGTTGGCTCAATGGTCATTCCTAATTTTGGGAAGCATGAGGTTGGGGGATCAAATCCCCCCAACCTCACTTCCCCCCAATTTAAAAAAAAAAAATAAAGGAAGGCCACCGGAATCCGGCCGCCGGCATCGGAGCTCCGGCGGCCGAGGTGGCGGAGCTCCGGCAGCCGGCGGCTGAGGTGGCGGAGCTCCGGCGGCCGGATTCCGGTGAGGCAGTGGTGTTCTTTTTTGAAAAAAAAATTAAAGAGGGGTATTTTGGTAATTTGGCCATGATTTCATAATTGCAAATTGGGACCGGGTCCTTGTGAGCAATTTCTCAAATTCAGGGTCCCTGATTGCTATTTTATATATTCAGGGGTCTTTATTTGCAATTTTCCCTATTTTTTTTGCCAGCATTTTTTATCATTGCAAATCAGATACATGTTTTCACATAAAACAAATCGCACACGAAGCTGTTTTCATTTTTTTTCCCCAACACATTAAGCCATCCATTTTTGTCAAACCGGGTCTGGTCTAATGGGAGATAGACACGTGACCTTTTCCAAAATAAATATTCGAAATATGAACTTTTTTTTAAAGTAAGCCTAAAAACTTAAACGCTAAATTCAGTAAATTGTCTCCATATAAATATCTTAATTTTTACCCCAAAAAATCAGTAGCCAGCTCGCCGGTATAAATTTTCGGAATCCAGATTACGTTTGTCTGGAAGGTTTCGACGGAATCAATCAAGTCTGAACTGTTGAACCGTTCCTAGTTTAGTTGTCGAGGACAAGCAGCATTGCAAAGTCGAAAGCTCGCCACTTTCCTCTTCCTGAGGCCATATCTTCTGTAAGGTCAAGTGTTTATTACGAAGTCTACAAGGATGGAGAATCTTAATAACCACCCGGATCAAAGAGTCACCGGAAACGGCCTCCCCCCGCCCCCTCCCCCTTCCAGTCACCCAATTCACCCTCATATCCATGAACCGTTTTTCAACCACTGCAACTTTCTACAGCCGAATGGCCATGATCCTCACATCGCCGGTAACTTCACTTACCCCCATGTCCCTGGCCCTCCCAATGGTTTTGCTAACCATAATCAACCTTATAACCACTTTAATCACATGAATGGCGATCCAAACAACTCGTTCGGTGCTGGAGGACCTCCCTCTACCAATGGCAACTCTGGATATGGTTTTAACCATCCCTTGCCTCGTCCGGGGCGGAAACGAGGTTGGCATCCCTCTACCCAAGGAGCTTCTCCAGGTACGAGCTTATTTCTTTCTATGTTTTCTTTTATTGCCTCATTTCATTAGAATAACAATCCTTTTGTTATCAAGTTCCGGCCAAGTAAATAACCGAAACCAGGAACCACTCAAGGCGGTTGGCAATACGGTTTAGATAGTCATCAGTTATAACAGCTTTTTTGCTTTTCATTTGGAATGCTGTTTGGCATCTCTTCTCTCTCTCTCTCTTCCCCTCCCCTTTCTTGATATCTACAGTCTCTTTCACTTGCTCTTACTCCACTAGTATGACCTTAAGTCAGTGAAGGAGTCTAATTTGATGGAAGATAGCAATGACAGCTTGTTCCTCCTCATTCTTGTATGAAATGATGATGAGATAACTGCCCTGAACGGCAACGGATAGTCAACACAGTCTTGTAGCTTTTGGACCTGAGGTCTAATGGGTTTCCTTTTCATCGCTCTCGGGTAAAAGCCCCCCACCCCAAACACCAAAAGTTAAACCAAAGAAATAAAAGAAAAAACTTTGGTTCTTTTCTATGTAGTCGCATTTTGATCAGGTGATCAGATTTTGAATTTAACCTACAATTTTACGTTCACACACCACTTTGTGTTTTTCTCGCTACTTGAGAAGATTTTAGCTTTTGGAGTGGATGATACATTTAGATGCAATTTCGTCTGCATCGCTAGACTCATTTCTTTTCCAATTGCCAGATCAAGTTGACGGTGCTTATAATGTGAAACTTTACATTGCTCCTGTTCCAAGGACATCGACAGAAAATGATGTAAGTCTTTTTCTTCCAGAAATCATACACTGGTTGCATATGGAATGTTGAATGCAAGAATACTTTTGGCACACAAAAATGTTTAATCCATTTCTGTTTGTGGTCCATGGAAATGGCTATTCCCATGTTTGACTTTATCTTGAAAGCCTTGGACTAACAATTCCGTTCTAGGTCCTGATCTTGCCAAGGGTGGGATTAACATTCGCTCTTAAAAATATTGGAATGGTGACTAATGCAACCTACTCCAAAATCTAATCTTATTTGTTGTATGCCCTTATCATCATCATCTAGCTTCAATATTGATTCTATATCATGAAAACCACATGTGCTAAATGCAAAACGGTTTATAGTTGACTCATTTTATTCTTTATACAACCACACACTGGAACAGAGATGGGCATTCCATATGCCATCCTCAGAATGAGAAATGTGATCAGATTATCACACATGTCTCTCCAATACAAAGTTTCAGTAGATTCTCCTTCCTTATATCCTCCCCCAACAAGATGATTCCTCCAACCACCCCCCCCACCCCCCCAAAAAAAAAGGGTTGAATCATGCTTCCTTAAGAAAAATGCATAACCATATAGGTTTTGTTATTTTCTTCCACAATACTGTCATTTCTACAATAATTATAACTGTTGATCACATTTCACTTGCGTATTTTGTATGTTTAAACCAGATCCGCCTGGTGTTTGAAGAACACGGAACTATTGTTGAAGTTGTTCTTTTGAGGGATAAGAAAACAGGAGAAAGACAAGGTACTAGTTTGCTATCTTGAGTTTATGTACTATATGTCCATCAGTATTGTTAAGTTCGATATCTTCTAACTTCCTTAGGGGCTTTCAGGAATTGAGTTTAACCTTGTGCTGCCTTGAATGTATGTAGCATAGTCTGACCAAAATTAATCACAGTTAAAATTTTGTTTAACTCATGCAGGAAGTTGTTTTGTGAAATTTGCAACGTTAGATGAAGCTGAGAGGGCTATCAAAGCTTTAAGCAATCGATATACTTTCACTGGGGTGAGTACAAGTTTTTCTGTAATGCATTAAATTAACCCTTTGTTGCTGCCACTAATTCTATCAGTTTAAACGAAGTCTTTTGTTGTTTGACATATTTAATTTTTATAGGAGTCATCACCCATTGTTGTCAGATTTGCAGACCGAGAAAAAGAGCGTCTTGGTAATTCTTTAAGAATCTCCTTTTGACCCTTTTCCTATAGTAGTGTTTTAATATTTCTGAACCAACATGTGCTATAAGCTGAATATATGCAACAATTTCCTGACAAACCAACCCAAGCTCCAGTCCATTTGGCTATATTTTTATGGGGTCCTTTGCCTTGAAGTTTGTACACTCCATCATAATTACTTTTTATGGTGGACCATGTTTATGATGACTCTATAGTCTATACGCCATCTGTACCTTCTGGGATGTTGTAAGCTCTCAGCTTAGGTTTTGAGGATTCTTAGAACATGACAATATCTTCAAAATTGCTTTCTGTTATTTTACTGAGCTTTGATTTTGAAAATTCCAGGATTTGTACTGAGATGTTCAAATTTTAAGTTTTATTGATGAAGCACACAGGAGATACAAGAAATATTGTCAGATTCACATATATTTGTTTGAAAGTAAAGAAAAGGAGATTGATGAATGTTCTCAGATTTCATAGATTACAGTGGAGCTTCTTCAGCGAGTAATAAGCAATTAAAACTAAAAGCATCATGGTCTTTTGGTATTGAATTATATTTTTTACTCTTTTGGCAGGGATTCGAGGGTTCCCCCAAATTATGGACAAAAAAAATCTCTCAGAAGGCATGCTTCTTCTTGCTCTCAAGATAGCCTGCAACCTTTTATGGCCATACTGATTATCTTTCTGTTTCTGAATATATTCTCTTTGATATTCTTTTTATTTACCTCTACTCTTTGAATTTGTGTTTTTCCCCTAGCTCATTGTTGCCTTTTGTTTTGATATTTATTCTTAGAGGCGGTGGACAAAGTGTTTGTTGGTTGCATCAACAAAGAAGCTTCAAAAAAGGAAATTGAAGAAGTATGTCTTACCATTCACATTCACTAAAATCTTCGAATATATTCTGTCATCATCTAAGCTCAAGTTACTTTTCTGTCTTATACATGTTAGTGCTAGTGTTTTTCTTGAACTTCAGAATGTGCTGATTTTAGAAACGCATTAGATCCACGCCCTTGGTTGGTTGGCATCTAATGGAGTTCAAAATTTTGGGCGCCATGTCGAAGTTGTTCATACTTCATAATGCTTTTATGCAGAAATAGCTGGGTGAAATTGTTTGTTAATGTGTGCTTGTGTCTAATTTGCACGGTTAATGTTATTCTTTAATTTCCTTACCGTTTATTTTGATTATCATGTGAAATATCCTTCACTATCCACTTCCATGCCAAGATGCATCTGATATCCTAGGCTCTATTTTGTAATTCTTTTTATGCATATTTTCTACAGGTATTTTCTCCTTATGGACATGTGGAGGACATCTTCATTGCTCAATCTCGCGGTTGGTTTATGATCTTTTTTTAAAAAATATGTGTGTGTGTGTCCTCAATCATTTCTATTTTCTCAACTAAAGCTCCCAAGTGGCCGGAGATGGTTGGGTATCATGTGAAGTAGTTGAGGTTGGAATGAGATAGAGAACTGCCTTTTCTTCTTGGGTGAAGTAATAAGTATAACTAAGCGATTGGTTTTGAACATGCCACACCCATTAGAACATATACAAAATATTGAGGGGAAAGAGATAAACGTTCACCATGAATAATAGTCCAATGTAGGCTATATATTTTTAGCATTGGAACGCTGTGTCATCTTGATTTTGATAAGTATTTCCTGCTTCATCAATTTATTATTCATATTTCACCTTTTGCCTAACAACTCGCCACTTCTATACCTTTCTTGAATTTCAAGGATATTGTTTTGTCAAATTTTCAAACAGAGATATGGCTTTGGCAGCAATCAAAGCGCTGAACAATGCATTCACAATGAGGGTAAAGCTCTTCTTCTTTTTTATTTTTAATTTATATATATTACTTCATGGTTCTTGTGAAGGCTCATTAAATCTTCTTAATCAAGCAGGGTTGTGATCATCCATTAATTGTTCGTTTTGCGGACCCTAAGAAACCCAAGACCGGAGAACCCAGGTTCTGCCTTCTTTCCCTTTTATTTTCAGATATAACTCTGATGTGACATTTCTAATGAAAGAACTTCAATTACTTGTTACTGAATTCATATTTTGTCCGAACCGTTTTCTTTCTGGTAATTGATTAGCCAAGTACCTTGTGTACATATGCCTTGTCACCGTTTTCTGCTCTGGTAATTGATTAGCCAAGTACCTTGTGTACATATGCCTTGTCAAGGCTTACGGGTGCATGCTTTCATGTACTCAATATATCCGTAATTTTGTTAATGAACAAAATTTGTAAGCAAGGGATTTATGTCCGTTTTTATGCTCCTCACCCCCCCCGGGCTGTGTGTAGGGTCAACCATATGCCTGGGAGTGCATTTGGTCCATGTTCTCAAGAACCAGCTGTCTGGTTGGTTTCGTTTCATCCTCTCTCTCTCTCTCTCTATCACACACACACACACACACAAATTTTTTGAAACTAATTGCAAGAAAGCTGAATTCGCTTCTGCTTAATTGAGTTGTTGCAGGCTGCCACCGAACTATGGTGATTCCACTGGAGGGAGTAATCTGCCTATGGCCCCACATCATCCCACAATTCCACACCCACAAGTTGCTCCTCATATTCAAAACTGGCAACCTGCTAATGCCATGGTGCAACAACCATTTCCTTCCAAGCAAGCACATCCACAATTGGCTCCAATGCCCTCCCAGTCCATGCAGGCTCAAAAGTTATCTTCTCAACCAGTTGTTACCGAGGTGCTGAAGCAGTCGCATCCAACAGATTCATCAAGTCAAAATATAGTAGAGCAGCAGATAAATACACAGGTTAGTGGCTAACAGGTAATACATTAATCAATCATTATTTAGGAGCTCTTCATTCAGGTTTTTGTTCTGGTTGTGAAGTAAATTTTTAGTTACTGAAGAGATAGGTTCACATAGCTGCAGTGATATTTGTCTCTTATTAACTCGACATTCTTAGATTTCTTCAAACTGTGTTTCTTTTTCCTCCTGGAAATTATCATCAAAAAATTTTAGGCCTTCTAAAGTTAACTTTAGAGCATTTCTAAACACGTTCCCGGCACCTGTACCTTGACGACCTCAAGCCTTGAGGTGATTCTGGATTTCTTTCTTTTAATCTTTGATGATGCCTCAATAAAATCAACCTTAATTTCATGGGTTTTGCCCGTTTACAAGTTACTGTAGATTAACAAAACTACTGAATTTGCCATTCTCTTGCTGTTGAGTTTAAGTATCAACTCTTTTTACCATACATTGACTAGATTAATTTGATTTGGTGCGAGGTCAGGGTAGGCTATCTACATTTTTATTTGACCAGCCTGAATGTTATTCTTAGTTTTATATTTTTCTTTGCAGCCTTCCCAGACCGGAGGCAGTCCTTGTGCTGTTGCTGGCAGTACATCACCAAATATGCCAGAAAGTCCTGACGACGAAGTTTTTCCAGAGTGTGACTGGAGTGAGCATATCTGTCCTGATGGTAATAAGTACTACTATAATTGCGTAACTTGTGAAAGTAGGGTAATGTTTCTCCCTTTTCAGTTTTGAGCCTGTTCCTACATTTTTTCCCTGAATTTTATTAAACCAAGTTTATGATTCTTGCTCTGAATGTTGCTGCAGTGGGAGAAGCCCGACGAATATGCCTTGTATGAGAACAAACTACAAGAGCAGGAGGATCATGGCTGTCCAAATTCATAGTTGGCATTATCTTCCTGACAAGTTGCTTAGATACAGCAGGTGAACTCTCAAATGCATCTTCCAATAACTACGGAGCAAACCTTTCCTGCCTGTCTGGGGGTTACCTCCCCCTTGTATGTATGACAGAGAGAAAATAGTTATTCAAATCCTTTTTTTTTTTTGGAGAGGGGGGGGGGGTGTGTGGGGTTTTGTGTTTCAAAGATGGGGTATTCATATCATCCTGATATTTCTTAAGATTTAGCTATCTACCTATCGTGCGTTTTGCTAGTGGAATTAAAAGCAGGTGTGTTCTTTTGACTTCACGTTATAGTCCCATGGCTTAGCAGATCACATTTTTTGGGGTCAATAGCTCAGTATATCGCTTACAGATGCTAACTTTTCGCATCTTAGAAAAATTGATTAAATATAAACCGAGTCATTTACCTTCATGTTTAAACCTGACTTTTGGAAGTAACTCTCAGTTACTTGTAATTCTTTTTATTTTTTTTTAAAAAAACTGCCACTTTACCATTTTGTCGTCAAATAGGGCGGATGATTTTATTCTCCCGTTTGGTTGCATCAGTTAACATGCTGTAATTGTGCAGGAAACAAGTAGTTATATCACGTCTCTGTCTTAAGGAGAATCTAATATCTGAAACCACAATTACTATTGGAAATGTTTCCATTATCTGAAGATTCGATCCTCCAAACAGCGGACCACCTCGGCTGCATGAACTTTGCAATGGCTGCTACTATCTTGTAATATATTTTTTTTCCTGTGGTTTTTTTTTTTGGGGGGGGGGGGGGTGTAGCCGGTGGACTCCTAGCATTGTATTTGAGATTGATGTTTTGTGGGTCTTCTGTTGCGGGCGGAGCTTTAGACAACAAACGGCTGGCCGATTTTTTCCCCCCTTTCTTTTCTTTAGCAAAAATTATTTACAGGCAAGGAAGTGTACAGAAAGCTCGAAACTGGTTATAATAATATGTTTAGATCCTCATGGCTGTGCGCAGCAACGCACGCGGATTAAAGATGGTCATTACGTACATTAAAAAAAGTTTGGTTGCTCTTATCAGGGCTCACTTTTACGTTGGGCCTGATTATGGGGCCTGACAAACGAAAATTCCTGGCACTGCATATCAGGGGGTATAATCTTGAAAGAACAAAATAAGGTGGATTTAAAAATCATACAGTAGAGATGGTGAACAAATCCCAAGTAAAAGAAGAGAAATGAGGGATGTAATCCCGCACTTTACGCGGAGCAATTGGTCAATTTTAGGTCGGGAGTAATGTACGTGTGTGTTAATAGTGCTAAGAAATCGTCAGTGCCCATTGGAATAGAAGGGTCCCATCATTTCACCCTCAAGCTTCACGGTGAGTTGGCCTGTGCCCATCCTATCAACTTCAATTATTCCTGTACGATGATAGTCTCACCTGCTCAATAGAACGCAGCAGAAGGAAGAACATGACTCGAGATGTTCTGGTGTCTTCCTCAATAAAAGCTAAAAGATGTCGTTATCAGGATCTATTCCGTCCGTCACAGAAACCAAACCACTATCTGTGACATGCTGCCGTGGGTTTTCTTCTTTCTTTTTCGGCTTTTTTTCTTTTAGCCCTCTCCAGTTTCCCTCCTTTTCAGGTGCTCTTATCTGGCCTCTCTTCAATGAATCGATTTCATTAATGGATTGCATAACGTGCAGATTAAAGAGTGGCATTTACTCAACAAGCTCGAAATAGAGTGGTAGAGGTTGAAGCGACCTTCCTATTTATAACAACGTGCCCATATAAGGACACTGCTTTCACCATCAGATCCTCCAAATTTTAAAACATTTTCCTAGAATTAGTTTTGTGTGGATTCCGGGACAAAGCAAAGGAAGAAAGCTTCCACACGGGATCGTTCTCGTGACAATAAACCTAAACCTAACAATCTTTACTGCTGCGCAGTGAAATCGACGTACATTCCTTCAACGAAAAGAAACAAGAATACAAGACAAAGGACGAGTCAGAAGATTCAAAGCGGACAGAAAAGCTTATTTACTATTTTGTTTCTTTGTTATCTCTCCCACAACCCCCGCCTACGAGAACTTTCTTCTCCCTTCTTCCTTTTTAGCTCAACAAAAATATTAAAGCTCGCTAGAAGATGTAGTCCCTGCACTGGTTAAAAATCCAAGCAACATAGCATACAGTAAATGATAAACACGAGGGCTATGCGCAAAACATTGGGTTTTACATATAATTAATTAACTAGCAGGAGTACTGGAGTTCACGTCTAAGTCTATTATAAATTAAATTAACGTCATCATTACAAAGAATTTGCATGATCACGCAGTTAATTAAGGATTGATGGTCTGTCTACTCTTCTTTCAACATATGGGAAGGAATGATATCTTGGAGAAGCCCATGGTCCCTTAAAAAAGCATTGGTCCCTGGATTACAAGGCATCCTCTCTTGAGGAAAGCGGCGATACTACTCTTTGAACCACAAATGCGAGGAAAACCCAAAGACGACAATGTGTTCGCTAGGAATTGGTGATCATTATGATGTTGGAGCTGCTCATGATACTGCGGGGATAATAAGTTTCCCGGCGTTGCAGCTGAACCACATCCGGCGGAGACCACCGCTGGTACCAAAGCTCCGGCAAGAGTCGAACGAGGCATGAGTGGGCTTGTATGTGTGTGTTGGCCTTCATAGGTCGTGACAACAATGCTTGGATCAGTGAAGGATCGTTCCACTCGTTTCTTCACATTACATGAAGCACTGGTGCAACGGTAGTAGCTTCTGTTCAAAATTTTAAGAACGATATTTAAAATTCATTTTAAACTAGAAAAAGAATTAGCAAAGCTAGGTGCAGATGAGTGAAAATAAGAGATGTACAGCAGAAATTGAAGCATCACCTGGGAAAGGGGCTGTTCTTCACGGCTTTTTGACCGTACTTTCTCCATCTGTACCCATCATCCAGATGATCGACCTCGCTTTTCGTCATGAACGCGAATCTCGGTTCCCTCTGTTTCTTCTGACTTGTCTTCTTGGCCTTCAACCTATACCCAGCCAGATCCACGAAACCATCAAATCTTAGAATGTCGGTAACACCAATTTACGTGCTACAGAAGAAAAATTAAGGCATACTAAATTTATTTCCTAATAAGAAGTGCGCGCGCGCGCGCATAAGGTTCCGGCAATCGAAGCAAAAGTAATTTAAAGGAGAAAAATCACGTACTACATTACACAAGACCGCACCAAATTATCTCCTTTCGTCCCATACTCCCTTCTATTAAATCAAAATGGGGGAAAAGGACATGAATAGAAAACCCACTGGTTCTTGGTCTTTGGTTGTTCATCTCCTCGTTGATCTACAGTTTTAGTGTGTTCATCAATCAGTGCCTCACTGGACGCAGATGAAATGGATGAAGAGTTTGGAGTGGCAGGCTGTTGATTCAACGGCTCGCAGTAGTTTTTTGCAGCGGCACATCGATTTTTGAGGTCGGAAGGAAATAGTTGCGGGGGCAAATCAAAGGAACCATAGTCCTGCTCCTGCACACCCAGTAACTCCATAAACCCTAGAGAGCTCTTTTCCACTTCATGAAAATCAAAGACACTCGAAAGTGGGAAGCCGTTTGAATTATAATCCCCAAACGAAGAGGATCCAACTGCTTCCTCCTTCTTGACACCCTTCTTCTCCATAAACGAACCACAGATTACACTCCCATGATCAAGCCTGAATCCTTCAGCCTCGACCAGGAAAAAATGAAACTTGGCAACGCGGAGTGGGTGGTAGAGACGGAGCAAGGTCGGGTTGATCTGGTTAATAGGTGGGGGAGGATGGAGAGAATAGTTTTGGGTTCACGAAGAAAGAGAAAGTTCAGAGGATGAGGATGGCTAATAATCGGAGCTTGCCAAGCAAAGCAAATTAAACAAGTTTTGACCGGCAAATGGAGGTAATTCACCGGTACGGACAGGGTCATGACGAGGCGGGGGCATTTAATGAATGAGGAAGGTGCCAGGGTCGAGGTTTTCCATACGTAGAATATCACTGCTTGGACCGGTGTCAGGTGTGAATGGGGTTCCGGCTATGCGCTCAAAGCAGCCGACGTTTTAGATTATTCTTATAACGAACTCTTTTAAATTAATATGAGTTCATATAATATTCAATGCAAATTGTTCCGGTCTTGCCTCGCCTGAGAATTTCCTCCCAGAGTCATATTCTGCTTCATTTGTCTTGAATTTAACATCTTCCCTAGCTCTCTGCTACCTTGTGCATGCAGCTCTTTTAATTCTCCGCCGGTGCACAAAACTATATTAAGCATCACGTGATCATGACAGGCGTATAATTACGCGAGTTAAAAATCGATTTACAATTTATACATGGTTCATTAAAGACAATAACGAATCAATTTTTTTGGGGTTAAAAAGGGTGGGGAAGCGAATTATTAATTCCACAGAGGGGGGGGGGTGCGGATCACTGGATTGTGACGAGAAGCAGCAGAGGAGGTCGTAAATGAAGGGCCGAAAAGGGAACTATAGATGTAAAAAGGTACAAGGGTGAGTGAGTTTTAGGGACTGGATTTGAGCAAAGAATTTAGTTGTTAAAACTACCATACATAGATATGTATATATCAAAAGAGGCTAAAATTCTCAAGGGGTTTCCTTTACCCACTCTGCTTCTTCTTCCTCCCCTTCTTAATTCTCTCTCTTGTTCTCTTTTTTAGCAAAACATATATTTGTGAGCGTATATGTACTGGTGAATGTATGAATCAGTATATAGGAGATGGAGATGGGTTTTACCTTTGGTGAGAAAGGGAAAAGGTGGTGCACGTGCGGCTAAGAAGGGCGCATGCTGACATAGTTTGCGTGTGAGTACTTGGTACCTCCTACCTAGCTGCCCATGCTTCTCTTCTCTCTCTTGCTTTCCATTCCAATACTTGTTTGTTCCTTTCCCACTCCCGCATCCACCCCATTCATTATTCATTATTCATTATTCCTTTCCTTCTCTCTCTTGTTCTTGCTCTTCATTCGCTCTTGTCCGCGTACGGCCTTCCCCTCTTATTACAAATCCCATGTCTTGTTTCTTAACACACATGTACTTGCACAACCGTCTTGTTAATCTGTGGCTCGTGTTATATAATCATGACGTAAAATTGGTCACTCCAGAATGCTGGCAATCCCCAGGTTAGTTATACAAGAAAATATATATGTGTATATATATATATATATATATATTGAAGAACATAACATAAACAAAACAAGTACTCATGTAAACATAATTGTGTTCCTCTGAAAGGTTGATAATTGAAGATCCCATTGTCACAATACATATCATATCTTGAATGCCCATTCCGTATAACTGTAAAACGTGGATCCTCGTGCAACTACGCTCTGCGCAATACCTGATTCATAACCTTTTTCTGGGTTTCCCATTACGGGTTCAAGAAATTATAGCCGTGTTCTCTTTGCGGTGTGATAATCAAGTCACACCTCTCGGCCAGTCCCGCGTGGACGGTGGATGTCGATTTTCCAAATCTTTGATTATTTTATGTGTCCCAGCTACTTATTTGATTTTAAATTCCCAATCACTTTTAACTCCTTATTCTAATAACTGCAATGAATTCGCCCCGATTTTATTATTCTAGAAGTTCTTGGGAAGAATACTTTCCCGTATGGTTTGTTTCAGTTTTTAAATAGTATTTAGGCGTTATATATAAGATCTTAGTACGTGACAAAATAGGATTTTCTGAACTGGGTCGTCTGTGAACACACAAATAGATCAGAAACAAAATTACGGTCTGGTGAAGAGAGGGAGTATCATACGCTTCAGGGTTCTGTCATATTGACAACTTCACGTTCGTGATGACGCGCGCTTGGAGAGTTCCAGCATATTTTATACTGAATAGTATTTAAAAAGGATATGGTATTAATTTTGAAATAATTCAACAAGAGATAATTACTATCAAATCCCATAAAAAGAAAAAAAATTACAAAACAAGTTCTACAAGTTGTTATTTTTCACAGTAAGACTTATTATTACAAGCTGCTTAGGTTGTTGTTGAGATTTTTTAGTCATTATTTATCTTATATGGGACTTGATTGTAATTCTCTAATTAAGCAAATTTTCAAATGAAAATAATATGTTTTCATCCAACTTTAATTTTTTAACCTTAAATTCCCTCCACTAGTCTCCTGACACTTTCTGTGCATAATATTTTGGGGGGATACCAAGAGACTAAGATCAGCGTAAAAACCAACCTTATTTTGAGGGATATGTTTCTAATTTCTCAATTCTGCTTGGAATTAAGGGCGGTCCTTGATCAAATAATTAAATAGTAAAATAAGGGCGTGACTCATGAGTTGGTGCTTGTTTGACTTTGACCGGAGGTCGCTTCTGGGATAAGTTTGGGGAGCTCAAGACCGGAAAAGGGAAACGTGGAAACGAAATAAAATACGAAAATGCGTTTTGTCTGGGGGTGAAACGTCGCCGTATTTCCTTGGAAGCCCGATCCCCATTCGCACCGATCCACGAGCCCCATAATTGACCAGAGTCACGAGTCCACTATTTATTTATTTCCTCAGTTCATACTCTTCCGATCCTGTCTAAGGAGGGAAAATAATTTTTTATCGTATTTATAAGTCATTCTATTAAATTTTTAGTAAATGTATTATTTTATTATTTATTTATTATAGTATAAGTAGTTATTTCTTTTAAAAAATATATATATTAAATATGGATAGAGTTAGAAAATTATCATATTTTAATAGAGAGCTAATACATTTTATGGTTTTTTTTTTATACTGAAAGTGTCTTATAAATAAGATCAGAAAAGTATCAGCTAGGCACCTACCTTCATAGCTACTTGATCAGTGAAGGCAGCTTATAGCAGGACAAGTGATTACCCATGTCGGTGGTAATTAGCAAAACCAATGACTGCTTGAATCAATTAAGGCTACGTTGACTTGCGGATTTGGCATTTTTTTAACATTATGGGAAGAGAACAAGAAAAAAGGCATTGTGATATTGTCTCATGGTCTTATTGTGCAGGTCATATCCTAATTTTTTTAAAATTTTAAATATAAGTTACATTTTAAAATGTTTGATTTTTTTTATCACGAATATTCTTTATCAGAAGTCATTCTGTTGACTTTTCTCTTGAAGAATGGTGTTGAAATTTAAGGAATTTGATTCAGGATCATTTTTTTAAAAAAGCCTTAATTAATTTCAAAATTGAAGAATATGAACTTATCTGTTTAAAATATTATGGGAGATAAAAAATTATTTATATAAAAATGAAGCATGTAATAATATCGAGCGCTCTGGTGGGTTGGGAATTTGGCATTGATGAGGAATAGGTCCATCCATGATTGCCGGCGGGTCATATATATAAAATGCTAGAAAGCTAAAGCCAAATATTTGTTGAAAGCCTCATGATTTATTCTATATTTGATATGGATTTCTTACCCCACCTAACCGTTACTTTTTGTTACAGGTGACCCACTTGGAATGGTGAACTTATCCTTTTCATGTCCCAATTAATTAAATTATAATTAACTAAGCAGATCTTTATTGATTCGTTCGATCGGTAGGAAACACCTTCTAGAACGTTGACATTATTTAGGTTTAACTCAGGGCTCCGGCCAACTCGTGATCCTGAATCCACAAGACAAACAAATCTTATCGTAGCATAACATATACATATATTATTCATCCTCCCTGTAACTTACCACCCAGTTGCATTCGAAGTCGAGACACAGAACAAGTTTTCAGGCGAGAGCGTTAGGCCAGTTGACCTTAAATTAAAATTAAACAGCATTTGAGTCTGGTTGGTTTGTGTCTATATATGTTCAACTTCAACCTACCGAGCACACGCCCCTCAACGCGGATACGATTCCATATTACATACACTCGCACCTGCGAGATTGGCTCCTGGGTGGGAGTAAATAGAAAGAGATGAATTATATCCAAACTTTTTATATAAATCATTCAACGGTCTGCTTTTTAACCTTCATAATTATGTATGGAATCCAGCAAGACAGTACAACCCCACCACACGTCTTTAAAAGGACCTTCTTTTTAACCCAAAAAAGGGGTTAAATTCGCAAGATAATTACACGCCTCTCAGTTAATCTGAACCATCAAACTTCTCCATCTCAATAAGACAGCTCAGGTAAGGAGGGAATAAAAACAGAGACTTATAAATTTCAATGGACTAGAGCTTTCAGAGCTGCTATAAGAGAGTATACATGGGGAAAACCAGTACGTAGCATAAAAATATGAAAAAAGAAGCGCAGCCCATACCTGGCCGTAGCACGAGTGATGGTCTGGGAATATATTTCGTGTGTATGCGTGTACTTCGGCTGGTGATGAATGCCGACACTGTCGTAAATTTTCAGAATGCGAGATTCTCGCACACGATTACGAATATTTTTTCTGCGATACATATAATATCTCATATTTGATCTGCAGAATGTAGGTATATACACAGAAACCATTGTTCATGATCAGGTGTAACTATAAATCTAGAATTGTCCTCCTAGCTAGCCCACACAACATCATCAATCATCCGCAGACAGGCATATTCATTTGATTTTTATCATTGATGTAATTCTGAATAATAGCTGCGAATTGAAGAAAGCAATAATAATAATAATATGGGGTGTGTGTGGCATGTTTTGCTTTACCTTGTGATGAAAACAATGTATTCGATTGGTTTGACTTCTTAACGAGCATTGAAGATATCATGATGCCGGTGTCCCACTTTAAATGCTACGATTACAAAATCTATGGCTTTTAGTGATCTGAACAACACACAATGCTGAACCCGATCATGTGATCTTGTCAGCGACACTTTAGGTAAGTTTAGATTTAGCCCCCACTCCTCTCTTTTAATACGTTGAATTTAATATTAATGCCATATGTAGGTCATAGGGTTTTATTTTTTCTGTTCTGGACGAAGCACTTTTACGTGGGGGCTCTGGACCTACCGTTTCTTACCAGAAATGCTTGTTGTTTTCGGAATCCAAATCTCAACCAGATAATCCAATCTCAATCATGCCTCATAGCTGGATCACTGCTTTTCCCCTCCGATCCAACTCTTATGCTTAATTCTGTCGTTCACTCATAATCAGTTCTTTTTGAGATTCAAGACAGTCATCGATTTGTTATTATTTATTTTTTTTCCAAAAAGGAAAACAGAAGAACAAAGAGGAATTGCAGAATTTCAAATGCTTGAACGGGGAAAGCTACTTCAAAATCTCAGCCCACTTTGATCACAATATCAATACTGTTAAGATCAAGACCGCTTATTTCAAACATAAAATATTGTAGAGCATCCGAATTCTATCACTCGTGGGATGGACAAAATGCCCAGATTTGCGCTTCAAACGTTTGAGTTGTTTTATTTTCGGCCCCCTTCTACTTGGGCAAATTTTGGGATGGGAACAATAAACAGGCCGTCCCATGCATTGGGGAATCACGGAATAATCAAAGTGATTCTTAGAAAACATGCTTTGTAAAATAGGCCCAATCTGATTGGGCTTTTCTCAGATTACCCTGATCTCACCAAATGAATGGTCTTACCGTGTCCAGCCCATGCTTCAAACATGCCTTCCATTCCGTGGCCCAGAATCCACGCCGGGGCTTCACTTTCATTTCTGAGAGTTATTGGCTGGCTCGGAACTTCAACCATGAGGAAAAAGGCTCAGTAGAAAAGAAATAAAAAAGGAATCGTGGAAATTAAACTGCGAAAGAAATAGAAATAGAAATTGAAGTGAAAGCTAACGCCGCAGCAGTGACCATCGAAATGGAAGTATCGAGTTGGGTCGAGATAGATATAACGTGTGGCCTGGAATGATATATGGTTGCATCAAGAAATGAGAATGTACAATCGAACTCTCCGTTTCTCTACAACTGTTTACCGCGCGTCGTGGATGTAAATTTATTTATTGGACGTCGTAATTCTTCTCTTTTCCCGCTAATTACACTTGGATTCTCCTTAAGTGGGGGCTTTCGATTAATTATGGAGAAATCGCTGTGTCGATTGATATTTTGTATCTCAAAAAGACATCATATATGCAGCGCGTATGAAAACATGATTATCTCTTACCCTGATATGTCCAAAGCATCCACAAGTAAAGTACGTCAAATTGATATATGAATGACAGAAATACAACTAATAGTAACAGCGGTATATGAATTACAGATATAATTGTAATGAACCAGCACTGGTCTCATCTTTCCACACAGTGACTCATTGAAATGATCCCCATGCTGTTCTAAATCCAGGCGATGGGAGGCGAGATTAAACATGCACATGAATCTTCTATATATAATATATCCCTACAAACCACAAGGGGGAACTAGACAAAACCTAATTATTAATCTTTACAGATGACTCAGATTCACCCGTCAGAAACTGCCAGTACGTCAACCATAATCTGCATGACTCTCACTCTCGTTTGTAACGACAAAATGTACTCGGCTGTGTCCCTGAAGAGCCCATCCAACCCCACGGACTCGCTGTTGCTGCTGGGTATAAGCCTCTTCAGAGTTCTGATCCTCGTCTCAATCCCCATGGCCCCTTGTCTTCTAGAACCTCCTATCGTGCGAGCCTTCCTCTTCATTAAAACCTTTCTCCTCCCCCCGCTCCTCAGCCTGTGCTTCATGCCTCGCCCTGCCCCCGCTTTGCTCCCCAGATACCCATACGATAAATTCCTGTCTTCTTGATCAGCTTCTCGAAGCTGGTTTTTCACGGACAGGAAAACAGGGAAAGGCTGCGAAGAAGCTCCCATGATTCTACAGAGAGGCGTTGGAATCTCCTTCTGGTTTGCTGTTGCAATTTGCAAGAACGAGAGACAATGTGCGCATTTATACTCTGTGTGATCTGGTAGGCCGCTGAGCATTTAGGATAATACTAAGAGCTATACATATAATTAGGAGGTGGGGACCACAGGCTACAATTTCAGAGAAGGCCTCCAAGGGAATGGGATGGATGAATGAGAAAGGGACAGGTGTGGCCGAGTGCGGTGTCGTTTGCTTTGAGCATGTTATCCAACTCAATCCACATGCATCCACATGATTCTTCCTCACAGCACCCAAACCCCTCTAAACCACCACCTTTCGTCACACACTCACCTCCCCACCTCGTAAGACCACCCTGGATTATTCCTGCCCCGCCACTTTCTAAATTCAATGCATTTACAATATGCGCGATTAATGGGGTCCTTCGTCTCCCCCCTTCCAGCTCAATAAACATGGCGTTCTGCATTAATAAATATATGTAACGTGTTTAATTCATGCCCCTAGCTCGTGCTTCACTTGAGGAAACCTCTTTAAAATCATATTTTAAGTGCAGGCTTGTCAATGCTTATGTAAACAAAAAGTAGACAGCATGGATACTGATGTTGGGATAAGGTGGGTTATCCTCTGACATTCATGAACCAGTCTTCCCTTGAACTGATTATATGATTGAGTTCTCAGAAACAGCCATCTTTTTTAGGGTTCCTAGGCCGAGAAGCCGACACCTCGACAATGTTCCAGACAAAGATGCATGCATCTCGATTTGTCACTGATGATACCTGAGCGGGTGAGGCTGAAGGAAGAACATGGACCAGAATCTTTTCCTTTACTTGTTTCAAGGGGAAGCAATCGCAACGTGGCTTCTTTATTTCTCCTACAACATTCTCCGCCAGCATTATAATGCCTCGCTATTTCAGGGAAAAAAGGGGAAAGGGTAACAAATAAATTAAATAAATGGCTATTAATTCGATAACGCTTGGCGGTGCATGGGAGCAAATAAAATGAGATGCATGTAAAGAAGGTGATCCAAGATCGTAATTTGAAACTGATGAAGATAACAATATGAAGCTTTTTTTTGGACCTTGCTTTTTCCCCCGAGTTATGAAGAGGAACATGCCTCCACGTGCTGCCGTGGGCTTGTAGTAAGTGTTAAGCATACGGAAGATAGCAGTGTCACGTCCCATCGTATCGGCCGGCCCAGTATTCCTTTCCACGCTCCCCTGTACACAATGGGTTCCTGCACTGTTCATCGTCCTATTTCCTCTTCGCCATTCTTTTGAATTCACCTGCCTTTGATCTTTTTTTCCGGTAAAAAAAAGAAGAAAGAACTGCCTTTTACTTTCGATGCTCAAATTAAAAATTGTCTCTTTTTTGTTTTGAAAATAAAAAAAATATTGTATCTATCTCACGTTTAGCTGACATGAATAATTAAATATCCTTACATTTATCATTATTATTCATATGAAAAAAATTGTAATCTCCAGTATTGGGCTGATTTATTAATTAATATATTAATGATTTAATTAATCAGTTTCCTTCTCATTTTACTATTTCACTAAATTTTTTTTATTCAGGAGCAACTTCTAATTGTTTTTTTTTCCCGATAGGCCAGAATTCTCTTAAATTTTAATTGTTGAATGACCTCAATATTTTACAACAAGCCGACAGCCTTAACAGGTCACACCCACGTGGTAACGCAAAAAAAAAGAAAAAACAGAAGAAGGTTGTAACCCTGAAATTAGTTGTGGTCCTGGTGTTGACCAAAAAAAAAAGTTGTGGTCCTGGTGGCCCAGTAGAGCCCTTCGCAACCAGCACTGCTTCGCTTTCACTTCCACGAACCCAACAACCATCCCATGTTCCTTGCACGTGTTGAAAATCACCACGAATAAATGTTTGGTTTTAACCAGATAACTTAAGTTTACATCTTCAGGCCCAACAAAATAAATTGAGATGATTTGGATCTAATATCGGGCTTTAAATGGCCCAACCAACATCAGAAACTCACAACACATGGGCCTGTGGGTGGACAGTGCAATCGAGGCCTATGGCCCAAGTGTCCATGGCAGCATGATCTTTTTTTTTTTTGGACTCAATGGCAGCATGATCTTTATACCAAGGGCCGAGAGAAAATCTAGTCGCAGAAAAAGAAAAAAGAAAAAAGGAGAAAGATAATAGAAAATAGGGTGTTGGAGTTTATTCTCAAAAATTCCAGTAAAAAGAATGCAATTATTTTGGGAATCTGACCCCAAAGCTGTTGCCCACCGAATGGGGCGCTTGCGGAGGAAGATGCCGCACCATAACCTTTGAATCTTGGTTCTTCCTATATAATTTCATTCATCGTCTTCTTGGCACTGCACTTGGTATCCTAGAGGGAAGGCGGATTGCAGGTTTGTGAGTGAATCTACTCAAAGACTTTGACCGCCTTACTTCCATTTCTTTGTCGGGAAATTCCTCAAACTCGGCCGAGGTTTTCCGCGATAGATTCACGCACAAACTTGCGATTTGTCTTTTCGCTCTCATCCTCGGAATTCCCGCGAAAACCAAAACATGATGGGAAGGAAACGGCTGGTTTTTTGTATTTGATTTCAGATTTCGATTCTAGGGGAGAAACTTGCGTCAGTTTCATCTATTGAGGTATGGCGTCCTACTCCCTATTTTGTAGATACTTCGTTTTTAGCTAAGAGAGGATAATTGCTTAGTTCTTGAAGGATTAATAAAATCATGTTAAAGGCATTCTTGAAGCGTGTGAAGTTATACATGCTGATTGCTAAGAGTAAGAGGAAGGATGAGGGAGGGAGAAATATAATGAATGATTTAATCCATCCAGCACTGTGCCTCTAAATTTCTTCATCAGAATTTTAAAAAAAAAAACTATATCAACAGTAAAATTATACATTCATATGAAAAATTTAATGAATGAACCAAACTAATCTCCCTTCTTTATCTGCCAGAGTCACCGGGATGAATAATAAAAAATGAAAAATTCTTTATAAGCATGACTCATTTCGCAGACTACATTAAGGCACGAAAGCCCATCACGTCTAGTTCAAGAAGGAAACACGACCGGAAGAGACCGTACGGCACACTAGGACTAAACTTACAAGAACGTACCCTGAAACATAGTTGATATTTTCTTGACGATACCAGAGTTAGATTTCTGCCTGGGCAGCATCGCTTTGAGAAGCAATTGATCAACATTATCCTTATTATAATGATGTTGACAGTAAGCTCCATTCGCTTCAAACGCTTTAATGAGTCTGAAGAAGAGCCCTATGGTTGTTTCGTCAAGACCTATACGGAATTTAAAGTTCATGAGAATCTGGTGGGACCTAGTTCGAAAGTATCCTTGGACGAACACTTCAAAATTCTGAGGCGGCGACTTCAACATGCAAAGCATGGCCTCCCAGGTTTGTTTCATTACTCTCATGTTAGGTTCTTCTGCAGCGGAAGGAACGCGCGGAGCCTCATCGTGTTTGTTAATAAGGAAGGAGTTCTGGATGAGAGTGAGGAGACGTAGTATTGTCATCGGAGCAGAATGAGATTTCATTTTGAGGTTCAAAAAACCCTTAAGCTTTCCATTAGGAATGGAAGAAGGGGCATAATAACAGCGATAGAACAAGTCTGGGGTTTGATTGGGATAATTGGAAGGGAAGCGAAAGTCAAAGCAGAACAAAGCGTGGTGATAAGGGGTTCCCTCAGGGCCTACGATAATTGCTCGCATGAGATCAGGCCTCTCCTCGTAGGCTCTCACGTAAATGGATGACTTGGCGAGACTGAACTTCAACACCTTCCATTCTTGCTTCATCTGTTCGGTTAGATTACTTCTTCTGCAGTTCATGGTTCTCTTGGAAAGGAAACAGTGATCATATGGAGCACTGTTAAGGATTTCGAAGTTCTGGAACTTCTCAAAAGCCCTCTCCACATCATCTATCACCTCTTCTATTTCTCCATATCTTCTATTATTGTTTTCCATTTTCTGATCTAAAGCGTCATAGTCCTCTGGAATTTGAGAATCCGCCATCACTACTTCTACTGGACTTCGGTAGATGGCTAGTATAAAATATTATGAAACCCTGACAATTTTCTGGGTAAATAGAGGTGGAAGGATTAAGAGATAAGTCAGTAAATAAGAGACGGGGCTTTGAAAGATTTCTTATGTTAATTAATCTAAACTAACAAAATCTCATACGGGATAATAGGGAAACTAATAATCTGATTTCGATATACTTCATTTTTTCATATGAAAAAAAAAACAGATTCAAAAAACTATTGTTCATTATAATTATATCCGCTAAACGGATCTCAACCCCCCAGCTTCCACCGTCCGGTATTTTATTCTTTTGACATTTTCATCAATTATATGTATACACTTATTTTAAAAACATTTTGTTTTGTAAAATCTTTTATCCAATAAAATTATTCATAACGAGCAAGTCTTCCGGGGACTTCTGATTTATATTAAATATTTTACTGTTATGGAATAGAAAAAAAAAATCATTCTTTACGAGATTTTTAGATTTGATTTTATAGATACAGATAAATCACAGATAATAAAATACATGTTTTTTTTTTCACCAGAGGATCAAATACAAATACTGCTCAATAGATTTGTAAGACTTATAAATGATAAATTATATATATGAAGTGCACTTTATTCGGCGAATATCTTTAATACCAAGCTATCCAAACTATGCTACATTTTGTTTGGACGTGAAGACTGCTATTCTTACTTTTTAGTTCTTTCGACCCTTTTGATAAAATAGCCAATTATATCAAATTTTATTTCCATCCGATTATTAAATATACATATATCCTTGCCTCTGATTTATTGAAATTAACAATTTTTTTTCCATGAACGACGGGGAAGGATTTTAGTTAAAGAGAGATATTAATATCAAACTCATTTCAAAAGAGAGTTGGGCCAAAATAAAATATCTAAAATAATCATCAGGCTCGCTCGCCAACGGCCTCTCCTTCGCCTAGGGAGATTATC